AGTTAACCTGGCTTCTAGCCTTCCTTGCATCAAAGCTTCTTTTAAAATTATCTTTATGTTGTTTTACAATTGTTAGGCAGAAACTGTTAAATTGCTCCTACTGCTGTGGTTCCTGCTTTAGCTGCATTGATATTACTGCAAAGCTACGACTAAGCCTCCTAATCCTAATATCCTATTAATTTGTATAGGATCTTTCAATTAATTTTCGTAGCATAAGAACATTAGGAAGCTTATATACAGTTCTTGATGCTGGAGAAAGCTGGCTGTTACATCCTGATTGTTTTATCCTGCTTTGAAACAATGATAAGGAACTGGAAAAGTTGTGTGAAACAAGCCCTCTGTATCTTTTTGTTATAAAAAGGAACTGAGAACAAACTATTTATGGGTGGAGCACCTTCCATTTGGTGGAAGAGGGCGAACTTGAGAGATACAGAAAAGCTTCCTGAAGTTTTTCTTGTTTAATGTGCTTTTGAAAGCTAGAGAGGGTTTTGCCAGAGAATACGAGTCTCAAAGCTTTTTTTTACCACTCTGAGTAGGATTAACTTCCTCTTCCATGTTGAGGTGGGACTTAGGGAAGTTTATGTTCAAGGTTTTTTAGTTATTACCTGTTGTCCATTCAGCCCTGAAATACTGAAGGATTCTTCTGGTAAAAACAGAAGTTTGCTTTCAAGCTTGAATTTTCTCTCCAGGGGTTTGGACCTTCATTGGAAAACTTAGACTAGCAAACTTAAATACTGGAATTAATGCCTGAAAAATTATACTTCCCTCCTGTCTTTGGGTAGATGGAATTAAAAATCCCAAGGACCTTTTAAAAAATGCTGATGCAAGATGGCATTGAATCACTTATCTTGTGGTGTTGCCACGGGGGCAGGTTGTGCTGCTGTTTGTTCAAACAGGTAATTTTCTGAACTGAATTGGTAGAATCAAACATCGTGGCTCAACATTTGAAATGAACAGGCTCTGCTGTTTTGGAGAACTAAGCTAGCCTCTTCAAATAACTGTGTGCTCTGCAGACATAACTGTGGACATACTGATTTAATTTGGATATGGGGCTGTGGAAACCATGCCGGGAGGGCATCAGCGCCTTTGCAGTAGCTTTGTGGTTCCTGTAGTCCGCCAGAACACACACTTTGTGATGATTTTTCTTTTTACGTGAGTGTTGTATGCTTCTAATCCTCTTTTTTTAACTGAAAAAAAAATGAACTAGAGGAAAACTTGGATTAGTAGTATTTCTAGAACATTTAAATATTCCATAGGAATATTAAAACACATGGCACTGGTGAGATGTGTAATAGAATGGGGAGTGGTATCTGCCATCTTTGGGCCCCTGAGAAGTCACGAGCAAGTATGTGCAGCTGCAAATAGGACACTTATTACTGTATTGCCCAACAGCAGGAAACAAAATAGTTTTCTGCATCTCAAATTTAGTAACCCAATGCCAATCTTTGCTGAACACAGACCTTGTCATCTTTTTCCAAAGCATGTGAACTGGCTGGCTGTTGGATTCATTAGTACTTGAATAGTTATGAGGAGACTGTGTCATAAAAAGCTGCTTTTCTTTTAAAAGAATTTGTTGTCAAAAAGATTGTGTGGTGTCTGATCAGAACAAGAAATGCTGCTGCTGAATGTGTTTCCTAAAAAGCTGACCTCTCTCAGACAAGTTCTGCACAGGAAATGCCTGAGGAACAGCAGGATAGAGTTATCATGGCAGAGCTGTGGTATCTTACAGTAATCAAAGAACAAGGGATTTCCATGTAAAGGCGGCTCCCAAAAGTTGTTCTTAAAACTCCTGGCTTTTCTTCCGATAGATAACTTGACTGTTGCTCTTCCCCCTCCACCATACCACTGCCTGCTGCTGTGTAAGCCTTCCCAGACTGTTCTAGCTTGTTTTGGCAGAGTACAGGATTATGTGAATGTTACCAAAACTTTACCAACTGCCCACTTGGCCAGTTGTGACTTCATGTCTGCTTTACTAATTGTTGTAATGCGATTTTCACTTTTGTCAGTTTGAAGTGTTGAGTCAAATTTGTCTGCCAGAAGCTTTGTGTGAAGGTGGGCCGGGTCTGCCCCCAGGGAGAGTGAGATATTTAGGCTCTCTGTGAGTGTGAAAACATTCCCTGTTAAAAGTATAGCATAGGTGACTCTTGACTTGGGAGCTGAATGAAGGAGGTACAGCTGAGAGACCCGCTTCTCATAGTGAGCCCTGTGCTGCAGAGAGGCTGCCTAGTGGCACTTCTGGTTTCCTCTGTTTGTGAGAGACTGCATTGAAGATCAGAAAACATTGCTGTGTCTTATTTTCTCAGAGGTGTCTTCATCTTGTCCCTAGAGACTAATCACCTCACAAAGGTGATTTTCTTTCTCCTTTCAATTTTCAGCTCCCATGGGACCTGGAAGAACACATCTAATTTAACTAGATGTCTTAAAATAACTACCTGGAATGAAAATGTCCAAGTAACAGTACATGTCTGCTGTTACATTTTAGCATTCCCATTGTTGGCATAAACTTGACGTTGTTGAACTTACCAGATCAGACTTCAAAAATACTGACAACTAATGTCACAAAAAGCCCTGTCTGACTTTCTAGACACAGCTAGATCACATTGGGTAGTTCATAGATTGTTGCATCAGGTGCTGCCTAGATTAGTACATACTCATATACAAAATTAAATGGAGGCTGTTTTCCATAAGGAACTGAATGTACAGTAAAGCCTTTAAATTACAGTATTGCCCACTTTATCAAGCCTGCATTTCTGAAGTTTAAAGATGTTTTCTGCCAGAGCATTTCCTGGCTGCCTAGTGTGAAACAACAAATTCTGAAACTAATTCCTCAGACCAGACTGAGGGAAGGGTGTTGTGAAGCCTATCTAAAATGCTGTATAAAAAGCCAGATAGCCATGGCTATTTCCATGGCTTTCAGAATATAAGCTTTGGAGCCTCTAACATAAAAAGGACGCGGACATGTTGGAGTGAGTCCTGAGGAGGCCACAAAGGTGATCAAGGGACTGGAGCCACCCCTCCTATATGGTCAGGCTGAGAGAGTTGGTGGTGGTCAGCCTGGAGAAGAGAAGGCTCCAGGGAGACCTTATAGTGGCCTTCCAGTACCTGAAGGGGCTACATGAAAGAATGGGAGGGACTCTGTATCAGAGACTGTAGTGATGGGGTAACAGGTAACACTTTTAAGCTGAAAGAGAGTTGGTTTAGTTTAGATTTTAGGAAGAAATTCTTTTCTGTGAGGGTGGTGAGACATTGGAACAGTTACCCAGAGAAGTTGTAGATACCTCATCCCTGGAAGTCTTCAAGGCCAGGCTGGATGGGGCTTTGAGCAGCCTAGTCTAGCGGGAGGTGTCCCTGCCCATGGCAGGGGGTTTAGAATGAGGTGATCTTTAAGGTCCCTTCCAGCCCAATCCGTACTATGAAGGTGGATTCTCCATTGTCAACAACTTGTTGAGCTGTTACAGTCATGTAGTGTGCTGGTAGTGATTTAAATGTCTTGAGTATGTTGCTAAATATTAAAATTCTGGAAATAAGAATACTATGATGTGTCAAGCTTAGGAGAAGAGAAAAAAGTAAATGCTTGATGATACGGTTACAGAGCCACAGGATGGTTGAGATTGTAAGGGACCTCTGCAAGTCTTGTCCAACCCCCTTGCAGGGCTGCCTAGAGCCAGTTGGCCCAGGACCACATCCAGGCTGCTTTTGTATATCTCCAAAGACGGAAACTCGGCAGTTTCTCTGGGTTGTGCCAGTGCTCAGTCACCCTCACAATGAAAAAGTGTTTCCTGATGTTCAGAGGGAACCTCCTGTGTTTCAGCTGGTGCCCAGTGGCTCTGGTGCAGTCACTGGGCACCACTGGGAAGACTCTGGGTCAGTCCTCTCTGTACTCTCCCTTTAGGTGTTTGTATACATTGGTAAAATCCCCCTGACCCTTCTCTTTTCTAGACAAGAGTATCATCACCTACTGTCATCTTGTTCTAGAATTCTGTAACTAATAAATGAGTATCTTTTTGAACCTCGCCTCCGTATTAACATTGGTTCACTGTGTGACAAAGATGTTGAAAAGATTCAGTTATCTGATGCTATTTAATGATTCCATTGGGAACTGTGATCCTTCAGATTTACCTGCTCTCTGTCTTGTTGGGTTTTATGGCCCTTTCTGTAATATTTTTTGAAACCAGGAGCAGTTTGGGAGGAATTTTTCAAGGATTTTTTTTTTTTTTTCCTGGAGGAAAGAAAAGACATATTCCTTCCAGAATGGTAGGTAGGCACTGGAACAGGCTGCCCAGGGAGGTGGTGGAGTCGCCATCCCTGGAGGTGTTTAAACAACGAATAGATGTGGTGCTTGAGGATATGGTGTAGTGGTTAGAGAAATGCTAGGAAAAAGGTTGGACTTGATGACCCTGGAGGTCCTTTCCAACCATGATTCTGTGATTCTGTAAAATACTGCTGTTACAAGGTGGTATTAAAAAGAATTTGGTCTTTATCCAAGGTGTGAATAACCATATGAATGCTTTTTAATGATAACCATCTAATATTTGGGTTTTTTCTTTCATTATTGAGTAACTTCACATCCTATCAGAGGTATTTCTGTGCAGCTCAGATGCGTAGATAAAATGATCTGTTCTGTACAGTGTTGTTTCTTACTAGCAGCAGACTGAGACAAACTGGATTCTCTACATGTAGGAAAACATGAGTGAATTTCTGTGTGAGTCTCTTGTCCGAGTTCCTTCTTGCTGAAGTTGCACAGGGAATTTAGTCCTGTGATGTGGGTGCATTGTACAATGAAAGCATGAAGTCTGTGTGATAGACTTATTAAAAGAAGGTCAAATTTCAGGCTCAAATGTATGAAATGGGCAAAGGTCTGGTAAAAAAAACTGAATTGACGCTTTATTCCTTCACTTGACGGTGTAATAAAATATAAGCAGCAGTCCTCTGATGCATTTCTAATTGGTTTGGCTGAGCCTTAAGTGTGTTGTCTCTCTTATTTTTTTTCCCCCCTCCAGCTGAGTATTGAACAGGCCCAGGCTGTAGCGGAGCAGGTTGAGATGAAAGCGAAAGTAGTACAGTCTGAAGTGAAAGCAGTGACTACTAGACATAAGAAGGCCTGGGAGTGCGAGCTGCTCTGGAAGGTACGTATACACCTTACGTTGATGGTTCGAACTGCTGACAAGTGCCTTTTGAAAGTGAAATGTGCTTTAGCTAGTACATGGCCAGAATCTTGAGATCTGCTCAAGGAACACTGAACTGAAAAGTGACAGTTTACTGTGAACTAATTTTTCTGTAGGTTAGCAGGATGCTGGATTTTGTCCCTGATTGGTTTTATGCTGCAGGCATCTCTTAATCTGAGAAAGGGTTGGGTTTTGCCAGGAACCTGCTGTATCTGCACACAGGCTCAGCCTCAGGAGTAGGGCAGGCACTCCCTCTGCTGGCTCCACAGCTGTGCCTCATCTTGGTGCTGACCCGAGAAGAGACTGTCTTTAAATGCCTTCTTTAAAGAATGTCTTTAAAATCTCTTTAATGCATTACTGTAGAATTAGAGTAGGTATGATAGAATATATGTGTTCTCACACAGTCCACTTCTCAAACAAAGGAAAGGAGAAAATCTGTATGTGCTGTGTCCTTACATAGAAAAACTAGTAGAAATTATGCAAGGCTAACTTTCAGTTGTCCCACACGTAAAAACTTACTTTATTCGCAATCAAGATAGTGTCCCTCTGATTTTACTACTTTTAATGGTAGAAGGAAAGAATACTCTCCAGCAAGAGTATCTGCACAATCCCAAATTCCTGCACTCTCTTCATCCATGATGCATGTATGGTATTTTGGGAGGAGGAAAGGAAGTAACAGCAGAGTTTCTTATTCTGGAAAGGTGACTTAGTGGTCATGGCTCTTCTCTGCTTGTTTAGAACAGATTAGCTTGATTAATTTGGACCCCACTTGTGGAATTGAACAGAAACCCACTGTGCTGTTGGATTAGGTCTTCTAGATCAGTGAGCCCCTGATCTGTCCCATGAGATTTCTCGTACTGGTATAGGGGACAAAAACGTGTACACAAGATGGGAAAATTTTAGGAGTAAATTGAGAATGCACCTATAATATTCAGCTGCAGCAGATAAGGTGTGGCAGGAAACCAGGGCCTGTGTAGCTCCTGCCTGTGATTGCAGAGCAGGCAGGATGGTGGCATGTATGTGTGGTTGTGCTGCAGGACTCCTCCCCTGCCTCTTCTCCATTGACATTGGTTAGAACAATACTTTTCTGGTAATATTTGTTCTCAGCATGGAACTACTCCAGCCATAGCAAGGCTCATCCCCTGAAATTCTGTGGTAGTTCTTTTACAAGCGTCAGTGGCAAAATTAGAAATGCACTTTATGTAGTTATTGTACTTCTAATCCTACTTTTTTCTGAGGTGTTTCGATGGAGGGAGTTAAGTTCACTTCCCACTGTTAGCCTTGCACAAGAAGCTTGGCAGCCTTCTCTTGACATATTCCTAGTACACAAGAACTAGGAGCTTGCCTCTAAGCTATTCGTATTCCAAGAGGCTGGATAAATGCACTTTATTGGAATTTCTGCCCTGAGAGCAAATTCTCTTCAAGTTATAAAACACAGTTTTAAGAAGAAAACTACTTGTTGCTAAATAATTCCAGCAGAAAAAGCTGAGTGTATTAAGTCCTCCTGTGTTAGTGAATAATTTTGGGTACAAAAGCTGAGGCCAGGGATTAAGCTGAGACTGAAGATTAGTAACCTGTTTTGGAAATCTAGTGGAGGAAGCATCTTTGGATTTTTTTAACCAGTGTAGTAAGATCCTTATGCCTTAACTGTAAATGCTTTGTACATTTATCCCCAGTCAGTGACCTAGTCAGACCAAGGAGTCTTCAGGCAGTGAGTGACTGTCCCTCATTAATGTGTGTTGTTGGCATTGTTCTGCAGTCAAGCAGGTATTCAGATGTAAGGACATGTAATTTTGCAACAATAAAGCTAATGAAACATGCAATTGCTCTATAAGGCAAGTCTTTGCCAGATAGTCTAAAGTGATTTATTTCCCCCCCCCTCCCATGAGTAAAGATAAACACAGGCTTATATGAAATAGTTACAAACGGACCATTTTTGTGTGAGCACCAGTCCTCCAGGCAGGGATGATCAGCAACCTTCTGTGTCATTTGAAGTGATGTTACAGAGCATCCTGTTGTAAAGCACCAGCTCAGCATGACTGCCAGTATTTGCAAGAAAATGCTAAAAGTAATTGGACCCTAAAATTCCCTGGAGATAGATGTTGTGTGATAACAACATACCTTCTGGAATTGGTCTCAATTCTGGTTAGAGAAGCCTGTGCTCTTTCGTGAGAGCCTTTAGTGACTTCCCTTCCCCGTGGAGTCTTAAGTATCTGTCAGATACCTCTTAGAAGAAGACTCACTTGAAGAAAATCATTATTAGTAAGCAAGTGACTCTTCCTTTCAAACGGCACTCTGATGCAGCAGATCTGCAGAGTAAGAATGTACAATTTCGGCTGAAGGATAGGGGAGGATAATAATCCGGAATTTGGGTAAATGCTTTATTCCGCAGTTCAGTCAATGTGCTGCAACAACTGCGCAAGTTTATGTGGAGGAACGACACTGGGACGTGTTTCTGTGTTACGGGTTGTCTTTCCTGATGTGCGTGTGCTTTTCTTTGTCTTCCCCCCTCTCCCAAGGTGGAAAAGATTCGTCAAGTCAAGGCGAAGTCACTCTACTTGCAGGTTGAAAAGTTACGTCAGAACCTAAATAAGCTGGACAACACCATTAGTGCTGTGCAGCAGGTCCTGGAGGAGGGTCGTACCATGGATATTCTTCTGGCTCGGGACCGCATGCTGGCTCAGGTGCAGGAGCTGAAGAACGTAAGAGGCTTTCTCCAGCCGCAGGAAGATGACAGGATCATGTTCACCCCCCCTGACCAGGCATTGTACATGGCCATTAAATCAATGGGCTTCGTCAGCAGCGGGGCGTTTGCTCCTCTGACCAAAGCCACCGGGGAAGGCCTCAAGCGTGCGCTGCAGGGCAAAGTGGCCTCTTTCACGGTGGTAGGCTACGACCACGATGGTGAGCCTCGCCTTTCAGGAGGTGACATGATCTCTGCGGTGGTGATGGGCCCAGATGGAAACCTTTTTGGGGCAGATGTCAGCGATCAGCAGAATGGGACCTACCTGGTCAGCTACCGTCCGCAGCTAGAGGGAGAGCACCTGGTATCCGTGATGATGTGCAACCAACACATTGAGAACAGCCCCTTCAAAGTTGTGGTGAAATCCGGGCGCAGCTACATTGGCATCGGGCTGCCAGGGCTCTCCTTTGGCAGCGAGGGAGACAGCGATGGCAAACTCTGCCGGCCCTGGGGCGTTAGTGTAGATAAAGAGGGCTACATCATTGTTGCTGACCGTAGTAATAACCGCATCCAGGTGTTCAAACCATGCGGGACCTTCCACCACAAGTTTGGCACACTGGGCTCCCGGCCGGGCCAGTTCGATCGCCCCGCTGGCGTGGCCTGTGACATCTCACGTAGGATCGTCGTGGCTGACAAGGACAATCATCGCATCCAGATCTTCACGTTTGAGGGGCAGTTCATTCTGAAGTTTGGGGAGAAAGGAACAAAGAACGGGCAATTCAATTACCCATGGGATGTGGCTGTCAACGCCGAGGGCAAGATCCTGGTCTCCGACACGCGCAACCATCGCGTTCAGCTGTTTGGGCCTGATGGCGTGTTTCTCAACAAGTATGGTTTTGAAGGGGCACTCTGGAAGCACTTTGATTCCCCCCGAGGTGTGACTTTCAATCACGAGGGCCACTTGGTAGTGACAGACTTCAACAACCATCGCCTTTTGGTCATCCACCCCGACTGCCAGTCGGCACGCTTTCTGGGCTCGGAGGGCACTGGCAACGGGCAGTTCCTGCGCCCGCAGGGGGTGGCCGTGGATCAAGAGGGGCGCATCATCGTGGCTGATTCCAGGAACCACCGGGTGCAGATATTCGAGTCAAATGGTAGCTTTTTATGCAAGTTTGGCACTCAGGGAAGCGGATTTGGTCAGATGGACCGTCCTTCAGGTATAGCCGTCACTCCTGACGGCATGATTGTCGTGGTCGACTTTGGAAACAATCGAATTCTCGTCTTCTAATCCGTGTTTGAATTAGGAAGAAACTTTCTCAGGGAAATTCTTCTAAGAGAAAAATGAAAGAAATACAACGTTGATTCAAACCTACCTCATCTTTAATTTTTTTACAGATGAATGTACTTATCTTTTCTGCAGGGAGTGAGCCTGTAAAGTTAAATTCTATCTACCTCATTGTTCTCCCTTCCCTCCCCGGTTTCTCGCCCCCTTCCCATCCCCACACACTCGCAGTTCAGAACGTTTTACCTCTTTTCCCCCTGCCATGGGGTTTCATGCACAAACAAGTGTTGCTGTGCACATTAGGTGGTTTTGTGTGGCGAGTTCTGTAGACTGAGCCAAAAAAAAAGGCTCTATGTAACTTTTTTTAACAGAGACAGTGCTCGTTAGGTGTTTGTAGAGAATTTGTGTTCTTGACCATACTGCAGTTGTGTGGGTGGGGACATGGGAGGGGGGACTTTTTGTTTTTTTGAATTGCTGCTGCAGCAGAGAACTTTTTCCTGTTCTCCTTTTTATACCTCAGTGTGTTTGATTTACTGGTGAGCACAACGTCTTTTTTTTCCCAGACGACTTTGAATGCTTTTGTGAAAGTGAGTGGGATTCATTCGCCGGGAAGAGCAAGTTTGCATCTTTTTGGCATTTCTGTGTATTTTTTTTCTGAAACACAATAATCCAACAGCACAAAGTAAAGCTGATGAAAATGCACAAAAACTCTTTTAAGTTTAAACCAAATTGTTCATTTTAGTGGCTTAGTGTGCAGTAGTTGTAAAGTTCCTTTAATGTATCCTGTCATTAAGTATTTCTTTCACCTGAAAGCTAAGTTAGTTTTAAAAAAAGTTACTGTTTTTTTTCTTACCAGTGCCCCTAATCTGGATAACAGAAGAAGTTACAGGGAGCATTGAAACAGGGAAAATCAAACCCTTTTGATTTACTGTCTTGCAAAATGACTAGCTTCTTTTTTTTTTTTTTTTTGGTCCCTCCCCATAGAAAGACTTTAAGGGAATGATGTTTGATGGATTTGTTAGAACAGAAGTGGTACCTTTTTTCCAAAAGTAAGAAATAAGCACAGCTTTGGAGATTCAGGGTGCATTTTGGAGAAGTCAACAAGTTGGGGCTTTTTACTGTGTTTAAAGAAGATTGCAATAACTCTATTGGTGACAAAATAGTATTTTATTTTTTTTCCTTTGTCTTCTGACTTCCCCAAAGAGCTGGACTGAAAAATTCAGGAAGGTCTACTGTAGTTTTTAGGGTGGGGTGGGCCTGCAGCTCCATGTATCTCTTGCTACAGATCCAAGTGAAAAGTTACCAGTACCAGCATAAGGCAAACTGCATCAAGATGAAATTCTGCCACTTTTTTTTCTAGGGCAGTACCAAAGAATTCTGTGTGAAATAAATGTATATGATCCTTAAAAGCTTGGAGGTGGGGGGATGTTAGCCCTTTCAGGGATATAAAAATAGCTTTTCTGAGAAGCAGAAACTTTTTAGGAGAATGGAGATCTCTCCAGCAAAATGTGACTTTGAGTCCCTGGAATTTTTTGGTTTTATTCTTCAATATCTTGCATTCCAGTTTTAGCTGTTAATGCAGATGTGGTCTCTACAGAGCTGTTGCTTAACCTTCTGGATAAGGTGGCAAACAAGAGTGGTTAAAGTAGGGAACCAGAGGGCTTTCCTGTCTCTCTGCAATAGAAAAATTCATGTATCAGTACCCTTAAGCTTGGGAATACCATGGGATTTACCTTGCCATTTGCAAGAGATCTCAAATGTAAATGTGGCCGCTATCAAAAAGTCTGAAGAGCTTTAACCATGCCCAAGGAAAGGATTCATCTCTCTGCCAGCCACCATGCACAAAAGTGACCTGAGATTGAAAGGCTCTTTACAAGTTTGTGAGAAATCACAAGGTGCACTTTCCTTTTTGCTGCTTTCCCCCCCTCCAAGGAGTGTTGACTTTCTGGGTTTTATAGAAATCCCGATGATGTGTGCAGACAGAAAAGCTGCCACTTTAGAGGAGGCTTAAACTAAAGGACCAGAAAGAGACAGACTGATTCATGTGATGGCAAAACCTCTTTTGAGAGAAGGGTGAAGAAAAACACCTAAATTAAATAGGATAAAGTAACTGTGCTGCCTTTCAGCTAAAGCCTCAAGGAAGCAAACTCTTCAAAGCAGTGAGTTTCAGTTAGGCTTAATCTTAAGATAGCATGGTTTAAAAAATAGTCTTTAAAGGATAATCTTTTATACAGATGTCTGTCATTAAATTTCTGTGGCCACTCAAAATATGGGTATGGGAGAAGGCGAGGTTACCTTCAGCTTTTTCAGATTTTGCTCGTGTACATGCCTCCTTTCTTGAGGGCGGCCTGCAGTTGTGACAGATGTTCGTGTTTGTTTTGTATTATTCAGTCCAGGAATTATTTGTAACTTGGGCTGTGAAAACTATTAGCCTGCAAGATCTAGATTACCAAAGAAAACTGGTTTAAAAAGCTTTAATGTTTAGTTTGCAGTGTCCTCACATTTATCCTATCATGTCTTAATAAAAATGCCAGGTCTCTTAATAAATACCTTGACCAGAGTGGCTGTTGGTGTTGGAGTATGCTAGAAATGCTCTTGGGCTTTAACGCTTGCTGGGTTCCCTCCTTCTCTGGTGGGACTAGAAGGGAGATGTTTTTCAGGCATTTAAAAAGAAAATCAGTGTGCATTGAGGATTATGTTGAACTGCAGAAACCTTTTTGCCCCTCTCTAGCCTGCACCACCTTGAAGGTGACAGACACTGAAGTTGTTGTTGCCCTTTGTTTTGTGTGGAGCCCTTGCACAAACCCCCAGTCCAGCTCTGTCAGGGAGAGGAACAACTTCTAACTCTTAAGTTTCCATCTATTGAATTCACTGGGATTTGCTTACAGACCTAACGTTAAGTGTTTGACCTCACGTGTTGGGGAGCTTTTCAGTTTTAAAAACACTGCTGTTTAGCTACCGACAATAGTTCTGTCTCTTCTGTCATGTAGTGCTAAGCACGCTTGGTCTCATGGAAAGGTGGTAGTGTGGCTTGTAAAATGGAGCGTTTTATATGCAATGCAAAGAAGTAGCGTAATATACGATGCCAACGTCTGATGCCCCATAGGGGCTTTTAAAAAGTGATTCTTTAAAGGATATTCAAACCTCACTCTGTTTTACCATGTGTGTTCTCAGGCTGTGTATGTTCTCAGGTTAATGCCCCGGTATCATAATATACGTGGTGCTGAGAGGAAAAAAAAAAAATCAAGACTGAGGCTTTGAAGCTGGTTCGCAAATTGAGCCAAGCGGTCAGAGTAATCTGAACTCATGGGGATGGCCTGGGGCAGGGCGAAGGGAGTTTGTGCCTCTTCCTCTTAGCTCTGCCGCTGGGGAACACACATGTGGGTGACAGACCTGTCTGCTAGAACTCCCAAAGGAATTTCACTCTGCCAGGTTAAACCAGTGGCTCTCGGTAAAACTTTTTTTGTGTGATAAACTGTTATCAGTGGTCAGTGCGGCTGGTTTGGGCTCAGCCTCTGAAGCAATCTTGTCCTTTCTCAGAACTATTTAAACAGGAACTTCAGTAGCAAATGGAAGCAGAATCAGTACTTGATAATGCAGGTCCTTCAGATAATGCACTCCTTTCTATTTAGTGTAACTTTTAAGTGTAACTTATTTCAGGAAGCCCATAAACCTTAAACTTGTAAAGAAAGCAAGGGAAAGATGACAGCACCTGAGAACTTGGGCATATTGGGGCCAAATATAACCAAGTTGGGAGAAAGAACAAGGCAGTTGCTTGTGGCATTCCCTTGGAACTGCAGCAAAATGGGCCCAGTCTGTTACGGTGCAGTTAAACCAGAATTAATTTCGAATGAGAGCAGGTTTATAGAGGCTTATCTTGCCATAACTTTCATCTTTGTTCAGTTCTAGTTTAAAAAAAAAAATGTGCCAAAGTGTCTTGTGGTTTTTTTGGTTTGTTTTGGTTTTTTTTTTTTTAATTATTTTTTTTTAAAAGGAGTGTAAGCCAAATGGTGCCAAAAGGTAATAGGGTATTTAAAGATAGAGATATTTAGACAAACAGTTTGGAGCTGTATAAAAAATGAACACTGGTACTTGCGTTAGACAAATGTTGTAACTTTGGTCTTTGAGTCCTTGAGAGTTTGAAACCCAGTTTGCTGTGGTATAAAATGCACAACTAGAGATGCCACTATCTTTTTCTTGAAGTTCTACCTCACTTTGCAGAAGTAAATCATCTACCTCAGTTGAGCATCAGACAGGCTTGAGGAAATTGAGAATCTACTTGGGGGAGGGATTCATCCTGCCTGTTGGACAAGCATTTTAATTGAAATGGAGATACCGAGTGTGTACAATGTGGTGACTTGTGGCTTTTGTGTGCTTTCAGTTTTGCTGCCTGTCCGTGGACATAGTAAGCTGCCCTTGCTAGAGAAATCTGTAAATAAAACCAAAACCTGTTGGTGTGTTCAGGCAAACTGGACTGAGATACTGGAAACGCGTGTGTGTTTTGTTCTGGTTTTGCTACAAAGTATGGAAATATAAACTTTTTTTTCAGTATTATGACACTACTAGCTGAGGTGACATTCTTCATGTTCATTTGCAGTGTTCTTATGTCTGTGAGACCTTTAGGTCTTCTCTCTCTACAAGAGAAAAACTTTTATGCACAAACAACTGTGTCCTGTTTGGAAAGACTTCATGTTACGATTGCTGTGAACACAACGCTAAACCAAATGCTTGAAGGGAATAAGATACTGGTATTTTTTTTTTTTGACTTGGTGATTGTACTAGTAGCTTTCTTGACTCAATGGGATTTTTTCCACCATGACAAAGCAACCAAGTTCCTATTCCTGGAGGGCAGCTCAGGCTCAGACATTCTCAGGAGAGGCAGTTTAAAAGCAGTATCTTGGGGTTTTATGCAACTTTAACGGTGTTGTGCAACATGCCCCTTGTTTTATCCACGGAGTGAAGTTTCAGAAGCACATTTTCAGATTGCTATACTAAAAAAAAAATAAATCTTTTTTTTCCTCCCCTACTCATTAGGGGATGACAGAAGTTGGGTACAGGA